CTTCTTCCTTTCTTCTTTCTCTCTCTTTTTTCTTTCTCTTTCTTTTTCTTTCTTCCTTTCGTCTTTTTTTCTTTCTCTATCTCTTTTCTTTCTTTCTCTTTTTTCTTCCTTCCTTCCTTCCTTCCTTCCTTCCTTCCTTCCTTCCTTCCTTCTTTCTCTCTTTTTTCTTTCTTTTTCCTTCCTTCCTTCCTTCCTTCCTTTCATCCTTCTCTCTCCCCCTTCTGTCTCTTCTTTCTCTCTCTCTCTCCTTCTTTCTCTTTCTTTCTCTCGTTCTCTCTTTCTTTCTTTCCTTCCTTCCATTCCTCTTCATCTCTCTTCTCTTTCTCTCCTCCCTCTCTTTTTCATGTGTGTGAGGTTCAGCCTGCCACCCCTCTCCCCTTCAGACTCATCTGATAACACCTCCCATCCTCCCCGTCCCGAAGCTCTTTCTTTCAACTGCACCCTCCACAAACTCTGCATGAGGTCTCCAGCCAGCTAGCAGGGTCCTTCTTTTCCTTAAAAACAATAGAAAAAAAACCACACCAATATTCTTCTTCTTTTTTTAAAGAACCATTTTGAATTTTTCCCAGGGTATGTCGGTGTTGTGCTAAGCCAGGAGGGGCCAACCTAGAGTTCCCCACTGCGTTTATGGGAAGCACGCAGGCTGCCTGGCTGGTCTCGGTCCAAAACGGTTCAGAAAAAAAAATCACATGTTCAGGTGCTTCAGAGAGGAAATAACAGGCCTGAAAAGACTTTAGGAAAGGAGCTCAAAGGAACAATTCTCTTTTCCTCCCCTTCTCTGCTGGGCGGGATCCTCACCGCTCAGGAAAGGGAACTGGAACCCAGGCAGTCCTCAAATTGCAAGCAAAATAGAGCCCCGGATTTCTGTGGCCCAACAGAGAAATTTGATACGGGAGTTTTGCCCCCTTTTGCGAATTTTTCTTGCCACCTGTGAATCGATGCCACTGTTAAAGTAGTAACCTGGTTGTTAAAGTGAATCGTGGAAGGTGCCTGGGAAAAGCCTGGCCTTTTTGCCTGGCACCGTGCCAGCTTGGGGGTAAGAAAAGACTAGGGCGACGTAATGCTGCAATCCTATGGGGTTGCCCCCAAAGTATGCAGGACATTACACTTAACCAGGGGAATTCTGGGAACTCCTTTTTTCCTTCCTTCCTTCCTTCCTTCCGATACTTCTTTTCTTTCATTATATTCTTTTCTTTCAATATTAAGTGTATTTCATTGTTCCCTTTCCTTCCTTCCTTCCTTCCTTCCTTCCTTCCTTCTGATACTTCTTTTCTTTCATTATATTCTTTTTTGTTTCAATATTAAGTGTAATTCTTTGTTCCCTTTCCTTCCTTCCGATATTTCTCTTTTCTTTCATTATATTCTTTTCTTTCAATATTAAATGTAATTCATTGTTCCCTTTCCTTCCTTTCTTCCTTCCTTCCTTCCTTCCTTCTGATACTTCTTTCCTTTCATTATATTCTTTTCTTTCAATATTAAGTGTAATTCATTGTTCCCTTTCCTTCCTTCCTTCCTTCCTTCCTTCCGATACTTCTTTTCTTTCATTATATTCTTTTTTGTTTCAATATTAAGTGTAATTCTTTGTTCCCTTTCCTTCCTTCCTTCCTTCCGATATTTCTCTTTTCTTTCATTATATTCTTTTCTTTCAATATTAAGTGTAATTCATTGTTCCCTTTCCTTCCTTCCTCTTCTGATACTTCTCTTTTCCTTCATTATATTCTCTTTTCTGTTTCAATATTAAGTGTAATTCTATGTTCCCTTTACTTCCTTCTTTCCTTCCTTCCTTCTGATACTTCTTTTCCATTATATTCTCTTCTTTCAATATTAAGTGTAATTCATTGTTCCCTTTCCTTCCTCCCTCCCTCATTCTCATCTCCTTCCCTCCCTCCCTCATTCCTTCCTTCCTTTTTTCCCTTCCTTCCTTCCCTCCCTCATTCCTTCCCTCCCATTCCCATCTTCTTCCTTCCTTCCCTCCCTCATTCATTCCTTCCTTCTTTTTTTCCTTCCTTCCTTCCCTCCCTCTCTTTCCCTTCTTCTTCCTTCCTTCCTTCCTTCCTTCCTTTTCCTTCCTTCCTTCCCTCCCTCATTCCCATCTCCTTCCTTCCTTCCTTCCTCCCTCCCTCTCCTCCCCTTTTTTGTTTTCTTCGTTCTTTTTCCCTTTTCCCTGCTCTTTTTATTCTTTGTGTCCCCTTCTGAGTCTGCATTAGTTTGTACTACGGCCATCAAACTTCTGAAGTATATAAAAAAAATCCACCTTTAAGAAGGGGGAAAAAAAGGAAGACCTTTTTAGTCAAGTCAACGTTTATTAAAAGTGTCTCCTTTAAGATTCATCAAACACATCAAAGCAACCTTAACAGTAAAGAATGTCACAGGCCGGTAAATGTTCAACCGTCTCAGAATGAATGAAAAGGCAACAGTGCAAAATCCAAACCAAAACATCCTCACCGCCAGCCATCGCTTTGGTACCAAACGTTTGAGGAAGGGGCTCTGTTTGTGTGTGTGTGTGTGTCATCTTTTAACCTGGCTGTTCCAGCTGGGGACAGTGGGCATCGCAACCCAACAGGTAGAAATCAGTGAATTGAGAAAGATGAATGGAGAGCCAAGTTTTGAAGGGGAGAAACAGATGGGTCCCCGAAGTGCAAAGAGCAATTCTTTTATTAAATTTTGCAAATTGAGATTGTCGCAATTCCAAAGTCATTTGGGGAGCTGGCAAATCAGATGCCAGGGCTGTGTTGCCAGGCTGAATAAGCTGCCCAAATTGCTTGGGTGCTGGGGCACTGGCCACCCACCATGGGGCAGAAAAAGTAAGATCAACAGAACTGGGCACAGGTGACTGCACAGGTAAGGGAATTCTTTGCTTGCCCAGCAGTAGGTAGGAAAGTCCTTCAGAAACTTTTTAAGGGGTTCTTTTCCTGAGCCCAGATAGGATTGGATGACCGCCGGAGGGCTGTTTCCTGTCTCCCCTGCTCTTCATTTTAAATTTAATTTTATTTTTTTGTCATAGGGAAAGAAGAAAAAATAGCACCCCGATGCTTGCTCTCCCCGATGCTCCAAGATTACAACTCCCATCCTGCCCAGCCGTGGGAGGGGAGGTTTTGCCCAGTGGTCCCCCCCCTCTAAAAAAAATAAATAAATAACACCTTTGGAAGGACCGAACAGGTCAAGCGAGAGGGGTCAAGGGCAGCTAAGCAGATGGCGGGGGCCTCACAAGTCTCCTCGTCCCTGATCCCCAGCGAGTTGGCTGGGGATAGTGGGAGTTGGAGTCCGCAGTTCAGGAGGGCTCCCCCCCCCTTCCAGGATCAAGTCTCTGAAGTCGAACAAGGCAGCGAAAAGGAACCAGGGAGAGAGAAAACAAATCCCTCTTGGAGAACTTACCAACCGCTAAGCATCCAACTAGAACCAACTTGGATGGGCTGCCATCCAACCGTGAGCCCGTCGGACTTCTAATTTCCCACAATGCCCCGAGGCGCTCCTCTGTGGCATGATGGGAAATAACACAGCGGTCCAGGAACCAAAGAGAGGGGGGAAAAACATCTCTCTCGGAGAGCTTACACCGAGCTCCACCTAGAAGCAACCCTACAAGGGGTTGAGATGGGCTTCCATCCAGCTGTGGGACCATCAGACTCCTCATTTCCCACAATGCCCCAGGGTGCTCCTCTGCGGCATGATGGGAAACTTAAAACCTCCAGGCTCCAATAGCCAGGCCCAGCTAGGGTGGGGCGCCTGCAGGATCCCGGCTTTGGCACTTGTGTGGTCTCCTCGTGGCCCTACTCCCACTCGGGGTGCGAGAAAGTGATGTTGTACAGACTAGCCCATTTGGCGAAGACCCGTTTCTCGGTGATGAAGCGGTGGTGGTTCCCTTTGTGGCTGCGTTCGTTGCGGATGTACGTGGTGCATTCGTCCGGCCCCTTCGGTTCGTAGTAGTGGTAGGGCAACCGGTGGGGAGGGGTCTTCATGCTGGGGAGGGGGGAGAAAGGCCAGGTGAGGTCGAGAAAGGGGAACCCCCCCTCCCCAGCCTCGGAAGCCAGGCGCGGGGCAACTTACGTGCAGTAGCTGGGGGGCACCATCCCGTAAACGTGGAGTTTGTCGCACAATTCGACGGCGATAACCATGGTGAACCATCCGGTGCTCAGCCACGAGCGTGACGTCTGCCTGGGGAAGGGCAGAGGAAACCGGAGAAGGGAAGAAAATATTTTTGACA